ATATATATTATATATATGTATAAATGAAAAATATATCAAAATGCATCTGGGTACTCAAATGAAAGCTCTTGATAAGTGTAACATCGGGATGAGCTTATATCTTTAAAAATGTCAATAATTAAGAAATAACCTTTTATCTTATGAAATATTGACATTTTTAAAGATATAAACTCATCCCGATGTTACACTCATCGAAACCTTTCATTTGAGTACCTACATGCATTTTGATATATTTTTCATATATACATATTTATAATATATATAAATATATGAAAAATTGATGTGGGTACTCAAATGAAAGGTCTTGATGAATGTAACATTGGGATGAGCTTATATCTTTAAAAACGTCACTAGTTTAAAAAGTACAGTGCAATTTAATAAAAGTCATTATTGACTAAAACAAAATTTTATTTATTTATAGTTCTTAGTTCACAAGTCACGGCAGTCACATCGTTACTGCAAGGTTGCTAGTATTAAATTAGATCATCAAAAGTTACAAAAAATAAATAATAATTACCTTCCAACATAGACAACATCATAGTAATCATATCTTTCTGAAGATTTAGCAACTCTTTCAACAAATCAACTTGACTCGAATGTTTCGACAATTTATCCTGCATATGAGAGAACAAAAACAAGAAACCACCGACAGCGTCCCATAAACGCGAGTGAGCAAGCGCTTGTTGATTTTGAGCGCAAGGACCTTGGATTACTTCAGTCAGCGTGTTAAATACTTGACTAGCAACACTGATTGCTTTGAAGAAATTAGCTTTACCCGCGGGATCTATTAATTCTTTACTCGAGTAATGCCAGTAAAAGTCCATTATCGACTCTTGTAGCCGCAGCAGGTAATCTACTGTGCAAATTACCACGTTTACAGTCGTCGTGTTTCCAGCCTGCGTTCTCAAATAATTTTGCCAGTCTATAAATAAAAAAAAAAATTGAATTAAAATTCAAAAAGTGTTCCGTAAAAACGGAAAATAAATTATAAAATTTACCTACCTAAATTGTGACCTTCACAAGTCAATTGAATAAACCTGAATAAAGCACATGTAAATTCAGCGTCATGCATATTTTTCTCACCGGCAGCTCCGTCAGATCCCACACCCAACCCCTCGGCTTTGGTGTTCCTTTCAAAGGCGTCGAGATCTAACACGCTGCAGGAATTCATCAGTCCCGCGATTGAAGTGAAAAATCCGACGTCTTTTTTCTCTTTTAAGTGATTTAACATTCCCCGCTGGATATCAATATTACCCCCGCGGAGGATCGATATTCCCAGCTCGAGAGTTTTCATTACCATTTCACTGGGTACTCCTTTGCATGCTGATATGTGAAGGAGAACCATTTCCGCGACACCTCGATTTGCAAGCCGTGCTTGGTGGAATAGCAATTTTTGTTTTTCCATTTCTTGTTCCTAAATTTATTTTAAACAGACAATAAATATTTATCAGCAATTAAAATGGAATAGCTTTGTATCAACGGAATTGTTATTCAACTTTAAGATTAATCTTACCATTAATTTATACATCGGCCTCTTAAGTTAGCAAAAAATCACACATTAAAATTATTAAACCAATTAGAAAAAAAAATTAAATACAAATTACAAAGAGACATTGCTAAAAATAATAATTTTAATAAAAAATACACGACAATAATTTTAACAGTTTTCAAAAATAAATATCAATGATAAATGCAATGAACGATGAAAGGATAAACAGTGGTTAATAATAAATCACAAAGAATATGACAGGGTGGGTCAAAAAAACCGATTATTTTTTTTTTACAAGTAGCACGGAAAAATGGGTTGGTAGACACCTTAATTTAATTGGTGAATTTCATACAAATTTAATTTTTTCTAATTAATGTTATTATTATTTGAGTTTTATTTTCAAAATTTAAAATAAAATCAAACCATAATTTAATTTTAAAAAAGTTTAATTTAGAATTAAATATCGCTGTGAAGCGGGAAAAAAGAGGACTTACGGTAATTATTACGTGAAGCTCACTTGAAAAAAAAAAAAATAATTGATTTTTTCGACCCACCCTAATATGACTGACATCAATACAATTGATAAATAACAACAACGACGTTAATTCAAACTACCCAATCTTACCAATACTTCTTTATTCTGCTGGCCGAAGTGTTATGATTTAAAAAAAGAGAATACATGCATTAATATTCTCAATTTTTTATTGTATATAGCATTCATGATTCAATTCAATGAATTAAATGAATCTCATTCCTCAAAACTTAAGCCACAAAAAGCTAGTACTATTGTTATAATATTTTTAGTTACTTAGAAATTTTTAAAAAGCTTACATGAATAGAAGCCTGACCCTCTTCTTCGCCACCACCACCCTCTTCATCTTCACCCTCTTCTTCTTCTTCCCCGCAGGACTTGGAAATAATTTGCGCGTAACTCATGTACAGAGGGTCTTCCTGAAGAGCACCAGTGCGCTCGGTCATCGCGCCGCGACAAAAAGTTGTTACCAATTGTGTTAGGGGATCGGGTTTTCCTTCGTCCTCCGCGGAGTCTACTTTCTTAAGCTCTGCGTCTTCAAAAGATTGCTGGACCAAAAATAAATTTTTATTAAAATTAATCATATAAATAATTTTGTTTTGAGTTATTAAAAATTACCGTTAAATCTTCAATCATTTTTTCCTGTCCAACATTTTCGTCTTGGAGCCATAGCTCGTAATAAGTTCTTGCAAATATATTTATAGCCCGATGTCTAAAATAATTCATTCATAAATTTTTAATATTATCATAATAATTATTTTAATTATTTATCCGTATTAAAAAATTAATTTTATGTATTAAATAAGTAATTGAGTAATTTACCTCCTCAATTTGTACAAAGGTTCACTACGAAGACATGCAACAGCAGCGCGTTTTCTTGCTGCACACAACACGCGTTTCCATCCGTCTCTTGATGGCATTGGTTTAGTAGCCTATTAGTTTAACATGCACACACAACTCCTTTTATTAGTAATTATTGTATAAAATAAATATTATTTAATTTTTAATAAATTATTATCACACTTTTCACATCCGATTAGAAATATATATCTCGAATATTTTATTACTTTCAATTTGTAGCAGTAAAAAAATATCAACAATTTTCAATGACGTGATCGAAATTTTGATGTTAATGTCGAAAATAAAATTAATTGATTAGCAAATCCAAAATTCCAAAAAATTATCAAAAAAGTAATTAATGATTAAATTAAATGAATAAAATTAACCATAAAGGACCACACATAAATAAAAATTAGGATACCTGGGTAAGGAATGTAAGGGATTCTGACGGAAACAAGCGATAACCGCTCGTTTCCGTTGAATAGAGACCACGGATTTGTAACTACTCTTGCCTTGCTGCTGGGGATGATCAATCTACTCAAAAAAAATTCATAAATTGTAAATAAACATCTCGAAAAATTTATAAAACTTATACTACAAAAATTGATGAAATTAATCATGATCGAGTTATATTCAAACAATATAATAAAAATAATTTACCATATGAAGTCCGTAGAGTACTTTGGCCATGTCGGTAATTCTCATAACGACATCCTCGGTCTGTGGTGGCTTTCCTGGTTCAACAATATCCTTCTTTTGCCCCAACTTCGAGTACAAATAGTGTTGCCAAGACATTTCATCCGCGGGGTCTATTTTGTCGGGTAGAGTTAGTTGTATTTTAGCGAACTCCGCGATGTCTGCTTCCGGAAGTTTCTTGAGAAAACGGTCTTTGCAGTGCTGGACCAACTCTTGCTCCCGACCAGCGAATAAGTTAAGTCCCACTGGTAATAAACGTTTTAGACAGGCTACCATTAATGATGCCTGGACTTCTTTGTCTTTGTCACGTTTCTTATCACGGTTCTTCTTCTTTTTCTGTTAGAAAAAATTATTAATACAATTTTAATGAATTAGAAAATTGAATACGATTGATGAATCAATAAAAAAAATTGATGGAGTGTAAATCCAGGATGAGCTTATATCGTTAAAAATATCATCAGTAGACAAAATACAACGTCATTTTTAAATTATTGACGTTTTTTAAGATATAAGCTCATTCTGATGTTGATTTCATCGAGACCTTTCATTTGAATACCCATACGAATTTTTCATATATTTCATATATTTCACAAATATCAAAAATATCATATATATAAAATATATGAAAAAATTCGTGTGGGTATTCAAATGAAAAGTCTCGCTAAGTGTAACTTCAGGATGAGCTTATATCGTTAAAAATACCATCAGTAGACAAAATACAACGTCATTTCTTAATTATTGACATTCTTTAATATATAAGCTCATCCTGGTGCTATACTCAACGATACCTTTCATTTGAGTACACACACGATTTTTTCCATATATTTTATATATATTAGAGTGGTCCAAAAAAAAAAAGTTTTTTGCCTATCATCTTAAAAGCTTCTCTAAGGCATAAAAAAAATTCCCTTCAAAGCGCAGCTTGATATCTCAATTCTTCATGAAACTCAATGAATTTTTATTTTCCCATTTAAATAACACGTAAAAAAATTTAATTTACGTGTTATTTAAATGGGAAAATAACAATTCATTGAGCTTCATGAGGAATTGAGATATCAAGCTGCGCTTTGAAACAATCATTGAGCATTCATGAGGAATTGTAGATATCATGCTGCGCTTTGGAGAGAATTTTTTTTAATAACCTTTAGAAAAGTTTTTGAGACAGCAGCACTTGAAAAAAAAAATAAAAATGTTTTTTTTGGACCACTCTAATATATATGATATTTCTCATATTTGTGAAATATATAAAAAATTCGTATAAAAAAAAATGAATTAAAACCTTTCCGGGAGCAGGAGCAGATCCATCAGTAACAGTCGCAGTTCTTCGGATCGCAGTAGGCATAATAAGAACCATATTATCAATTTCATTTGCCGAAATAAAGTTCTGTTCTTCTTTAAGGAAGTATTGAGATTTTGACCAGATGTTAAAAATGGCTGCTACATGATTATACAAGTCTTCAGCCTCAGGAATATTATTTCTCAACCAATGATTACGTTGCAAGTCAACGTACTTAATCAACAATGGATAGAAAGCGTAAATATCTCGTACAAGAAGCTGCCAATCTTCTTGAATCTGAGCTTCTACTTGCGAAGTATCGTCAGTTGACGACTTAATGAACCCGCGAAGAGATTCCTCTTTATGGAACATATTGTCAGTCCGTTTCCTGACCCTTTCAGCAAGCGGTAAAAATGGATCCTTCAACAATTCCTCTGACGAGTTGATGATAATCTGTTGAGTGTAAGCTGCAATGCGGGTCATCCATGGAGCGTTTTCATTTCCGATATTTTTTTTTATCAACTTCAATACATTTTTAAGCAACTGGTTCATGTGGTCGCTGGTAACCATACTGACGTAGGTACCTTCGGTAGGATTAACGTTATCTGGACCCTGAGCCCACCAGAATGGCAGGTAAGAACACAGGAGAGGTAGTATCACGTCGACGATATGCGGCGCGTCGTTGTAAGTTTGTTCGGACTCGACGAAAGCGTCAACTTCTGCGAGAATCGTTTCTAGAGTCGGCATACTTGAGTCCATTCGTGTCATTATATCTTGAGCTTCAAGAGAATTATCGGCGATGCGGTTTAGGAGAGAAAATTGATTATGTTTGTTGAGGTGAGGCTCGAGGAAAGCTACAGGAAAACAACTGGAGAATGCGCCGAGGCACGATCCCAAATTTGGTTTGTTTCGTTCGATTTCAGTCTTTAGGTACTTGCGGTCGTGGGTCAATGTTGCATCAGTTCCTAGGGAGTAGAGTGACGCTAGCATTTTGTATGACGCTACTTGAATTTGATCAACTGCAATGTGTAAACATAAGTCTTTTAATTTTTGATTTAACTATAACAAATTTTTTTATATCGAGTTTTTTCTCAAATATTTATTTGGTTTTATTGAATAATTTTAGTCTTTTACTTTAAATAGAAATTGTTGAACTTTTGATGATACTTTTTCTTATTTGGAATAAATGTTAAATCAAATAAATATTTGAAAGAATTAAAATTTAAGTATAAGAAAATTATTAAAATATAACTTACGCAAAAGATCGCTGCCGTATTCACAAACAGCAAGATGATCGAACATAGCAGTGAGAGTCGGTAAAACAACACTGTTGACATAAAACAACGACGTGGAAGTTTTCAAATGTGTCCCACGAAGATGACTATACCTTCCCTCCTGAAGATTCAAAATCGTGTGACCAAGATCATCCGCAGTGTTATTAAAGAAAGTCAGCATAGAAGTTCTAATAAACTCAGGACAATTTTTAACCAACGATTTCGCGTCAATTCCTTTAACAAGTACCTGAAGACATCGTACAGTGATTCTTACATCCGCGCCAAAAGCCGCGAGTCTTGAGCGCAACAAACTCGCCAATTTGCAAAACAACGCAGCAACCATTTCCTTTTCTTTAAGAGAAGCTGCACCAACATTATTAGTCGCGGTTGCTACAGCAATAAAGTAATTTCTATGAGTACTGAAGTATTTTTCCATCAAAGGTAACACGACTTTGCTGAAGAATTTAATATCTCGCGTTGAAGTTTTAAAACTGTTTCGTCTGCTGTACGTATCTGAAGGCTTCAAAAGCTTCATGTTGATAGTCGCCTTGTCCAAATACGCGATCAATTTCTCCAGAAGCGAGTACGCGAATCTAAGTTCAACAGCAGCTCCGGCTCCCGCGACTTCTGTTTCACCACCGCGGTTTGGTTTGTGCAATTTGTAACCTTGGTACTGAAGATACTTCAAAAATTCCTGAGAACGTTCGCGGTCTTTGCGCTTTTCCTTGTCTGTTAGTAAATCATACGGAACTAATTGAGGATGAATTCCACCTCCTGAAGTTATCAACTCTTCTTTTTTCTTCTTTGCCCAAATGTCGTGAGCATTATCGGCTAATCTTTCAGCCATATTTTGCATTTCTCTGCTCAATGTAAGGTTGGTCATATCAACTGGATGTGGATTGTAATTAAACGGATTCGCTGCGTCGCTCTGAAAGAATCAATAATTCATTGATAAAAATTGATGAATCTATACTAACAAATTGAGAGCCGGTTTTTTGTCCGGTTATACTGCGAAAACTACTGAACCGATCGGAATAATACTTATACCATAAGATGCATGTTTCGGAGGTTTTAGTGTATGATATGTTGGTGATTACTTATCCGGAGCCTATATTTTTTTGACTTAGAAATAATGAATTTTTATTGTAACTAAATTTATTCTATTCGATTGTGATTTGTTTAAAATAAATTTTTTAACTCTATTGGTTATGTTTATATACTAGGCAGATTTTTTCACGTATGAGACCTGCAATTTCTTTAACTAAAACTTTCAATGCTCATTACAAATTTTTTTTTTCATATCAATTCTTATTCATTTTTGTAAGAAAGACACGGGAATGTTATAATGATTGCACATTGAAAGTTACAATTAATATTAGCTAGAATAATTACATGGATAAAAGGTGGATGCCAATTCGATAGAATTTGGAATCTGTGCAAGTCAAAACAATACTCTAATTAAATTTCAAGTCTAGATCTAAAAGCTAGTGTTTTAAAAAACAAAAATTTGTAAAAAAAAAAGTACCTGGCTCTTGGAAGATCGTCTTAAAGAACTACGGTTCGTTGAAGGAACATCAACTTCAGCATGCTCGACACTCCACCCAATTGCAAGCAGAGCTTTTAAACTCTCCCTAACAGGTTCTTTGTACCGTTCTTTCTCGTAATCATTCAGCATATTGTAGGGCTTTAACCTGGGATGAGTTTTATTGGCATCAGACCATGACTCTCCGTAAGTCCAGCCGTTTTCAAGCTTTCGATTAGCCCAAGCGTCGTGATAATGTTCGGAGAACTTCTGGACTATTTGATTCAAATCGTTGTTGAGAACGACACTCGTGGTGTTGATAGGTGCGGGATTGTAAGGTCCATCTGGAGACTGTGTTGAAGCCGATTTGCTGCTGTACCATTCATCGTCGTAATTCTTGGAGAGCGAATAATCTGGTGGTAAAGCGCAACCGATCGCTGTGAGACACGGCAATGCTTTACCGAACAGTTCGGGGTCGTAGTCCATCTTGGACAGTGAATCGAATATATTGCTGAATAACACCATCGTCAGTCGCTTTTCTTCGTCACTGGAACCTTGACCTCCCGTCGAGCCGTAATATTTAGCGCAACGATCGTAGTGCAGTGTAAGAAGCTAGAAATTTTTTTTTAATAAGTCTCTTGTATTTTAATTTATGATTTTAAATGTAAATCATATTTTACGTACTCGTAAAGCGACTGTAGTGTATTCTGATAATTGGGAGACATCAATAGTGAGCTTGCGAAGGAGTTTCAGCAGCATACTCGGTTGCATTTGACTGAAATTTAAAATTAATATATTGATTTGAAATTATTTTCAATTCATCTATATTATTAAGAGAATAAGCAAAATTTTGTGGCCAGTGTATTTATATGATAAAATGGGTTTTTATGGTGAAATTTGGTATCGTTAGAAAAGTCTTGACCTGGAATTGTGCCTTTTCATGGTTTCATATCATTCTCATCAATAGTCAATTTATGATGATAAGCATAGGCTGCATTCGAAAATATTCTATCTCTAGATACATAATTAAGAAATGTCTAGTGAAATATTGACATTTTTAAAGATATAAGCTCATCCCGATGTTATACTCATCAAAACCTTTCATTTAAGTACCCACATGCATTTTTCATATATTTTATATATATATATATATATATATATATATATAAA